TTGAAATCGGCTTTCTGCCGCGGCGCCGTTTTAAAGCGCCCTTCTGTTGCCGCGCTGTTGTCGCAGTGGTGATGACGTCGCGGCTTTAGCGCCGCGATTTTATCACCGCTATTTTGATGAGCGCGGTTGTGTCGTGCCATGGGGGAATCACTCTACTACAAGGCTGGACCATCTATTTTTGAATTTCCATTTACTCATCCCTATTAATTCTTTTCTACTCTATCCTCAAGTTCCAATTCAAAGGACAGCCAACATTGGCAATAGCAAAACGGAGCTTCCTGGGTAACTAACTCCCTTTAAATAAAGGCCTGAAAATTAATGAAGAGCCCCAAACGTATTTGACCAAACAAGACAGCAAGGAAAAAACAGCTACAGGTGGTCCTCAACTTACGACCACAATTGAGCTCAAACTGTCCATTGCTAAGCAAGGCAGTTAAGTCCACCTCCCTGCTCAAGCAGGAGAAACCCATACCATTTCAGACAAGTGGCTGTTCGGTCTCTTAAACCTCCAGGGATGAAGCACCTACAACTTCTGGAGGGAAGCTGTTCCACTGGTGAATTGTCCTCACTGTTAGGAGGTTTCTCCTTAATTCCAGATTGCTTCTCTCCTTGGTTAGTTTCCACCCATTGCTTCTTGTTCTGCACTCAGGTGCTTTGGAGAATAAATTGACCCCCTCTTCTTCGGGGGCAGCCCCTCAAATATCAGACCACTGGTATCATGTCCCCCCTAGTCCTTCTTTTCTCTAGAGTAGACTAGCCAGACCCATTTCCTGCAACCCTTCTTCATATGTTTTAGTCTCCAGGCCTTTAATTATCTTAGTTGGGTATTTTTAAAGGACTTTTTGGATGCAGAGGTGGACTCAGTCCCCAGGACAGAGGAGGGCAGGGTTGGGAGAGAATCGCTTAAGCGACTCGGTCCCAGGTCCTGCCTCCAAGAGCCTGTCCAGCGACTCCCGCCAAGGGACCCAGGCCAGGGGGCGTCCCCGGCTCCTCTCCCTCCTCCGCCGCATGCTGCTGGCTGCCTCTCCGGCCGGCCGGCTAGCTAGTTTCGCCTGCCCCAATCAAGAGCCGCAGCGGCGGAGGAGTGGCTCGGGGGGGGGGCGGCGGCCAGGACGACGCTCGGGCTCTTCCCCACGCGATGCACATCTGGAAGGGGGCCCCAAATCGGAGTCCCGCGGGTAACGCCCATACGGGCAGTACGGGGTTCGAAGCCCAGCCATCCGTCTACGGAAGGCGCCAGGTTCAGGGGAAAGGCCGTTTCCAAGTATAAAATGCCCTAAAAGCCTAGGCACGCCCGGTACAGCAGTTTGCAAGGCGCGGTGGAGCGACTCGCGTATCGTGTCCGAATCTCCCCTTGTATTCGTGTTCATTTCATGTATTCATAATCATGCCTACACTTACATCTGTTATTTAATTCATGCTTGTCGAAATACATAAATAAATATAAATAAATAAACCCGGGTTACCGAGGTGTGCAAACAATCACCAACACCCCCCATAGCAACATTGTCCGGAACCCGCAACCTCCAAATGAGAGCCCATCCCAAGGATCGATTCCCCACCCATCCAGCTACCTTCAGCAGCTCCTTCTCGATCTCGCCCGCTTTCAGGACGATGGGTCCCCGCACCGCGTACTCCACCGCCTTGACCTGCGGGTTCATGGATTCCAACGTGAGGATCTTCTCGCGAGGCGCCTTCTCCTTCAGCTGCAGCGCGGGGGCTTCGGCGGCGGCGCTGCTCCAACCAGCCAGGAGAAGCGGCTGGGCGTTGGTGCGCTGGGCATTGAAGGGCCGTCGGCGGCGCTCTTTGCCGGTGGCCAGCCAGGCGAGGAAGCGGACGGCCTCGGCTCGGCGGTCCGGGAGGCGAGGGGGAGTGGCGGCGGCGGCGGCGACAGCGGCTTCCCTGCTCAGCCCCGACAAGCGATGCATGGTGCCTTAAAAGAGAAGGAGACAAGAAGAAAAAAAGAAAAGAGGAGAAGGTTAGGATGCAGCCCTGACGCTGTTCCCTAGTTGGGTCCTGAAACGTCTGCAGGAAATCAAGGCGAGCTCAGAAAGCAGCGAGGATCCCTCGTTCCTGCTGAAGGCCAGAAGGGTTCCAGCCTCGAGGTTGGTTGACTCAGCCTTCCTTCCATCCTTCCAAGGTGGGTTAAAGGAGGACCCGGATTGTTGGGGGCAAGAGGCTGACTCTGTAAACCGCTTAGAGCGGGCTGCAAAGCATTATGGAGCGGTGTGTAGGTCTAAGAGATACTGTTATGTCCACCCTGAGCTACAAAGCTTCCCCTTTAGCGGAGAAGATTAAACCGGGGATGGGGGGGGGGAGGAGAAGCGATCCCCCCCCCACACACCAGCGCTGCAAAGGCGCTCTCCGCCCCACATCTCACCTGCACCAGCGTCCCGAGAGAATCAGGGAAGATCTCCGCTTGTAAGCAGACAAGTACGCCCGAAAGGCTCCTATGCCTCTTCCAGCCCCGGCTCCTCCGCATGCAAAAAGAAAGAAAAGGGAGGGAGGGGGGCAGAGGCGGCGCTGGCCGGAGATGCGCCCCACGGAGCTCTCCAATGAGCGACCGACCTGGCTGCCTTTGCAAACGATTCAGCGTTGAAAGCCGGCTCGGGGAAAGCCCATTGCCCGCCCACCCCTACACGCCTCCGCCCCACGCCTGCTGGACGCGGAACCGCCCAGGCTGCCGGGCCTCCACAACAGCTGGCCTTGGGGGAATTGCACCAGCCGAGACGCTCTGCCTGATGGGGCTTGTAGTTCCCCGGGGCCGCCCTTGCAGAGGAGGGGGGGGAGAGGAAACTACATCGCCCAGAAGGCTCTCCGAGCAAGGGTATCTCTCTCTCTCTCTCTCTCTCTCTCTCCCTCTCCCATCCTCCCTCCCTCCCTCTCTCTTTCTCTCTCTGTGTGTGTGTGTGTGTGTGTGTGTCGGGAGGAGGAGCAGGAGGTGTCGTCGTCTCCCCTCTCCCCCCCCCAACCAATCCGGTCCGCTCCTTTCCCCAAAGCGACCCCTCCCAAGGGGGGAGCCAGTCATTGAATGAAAATACCCCCCCCCCCAAAAGAGGAGATTTTGCACGTGAAAACATGTTTCCTGAACGTTGCAAGGCTTCGCAGCCAAAGATGCCTCGGGCGCAACCGTGGCGGAACACAATTCGTTAGGTGGAAACGCTGCAAAAAGAAATACG